TGGAGAGGTCTCTTGTCTGTTCACAGGAAGTACTGGGGTGAGAGTTTACATCAAGCCCACGGAAGGCCTTGAGTGGAATGGTTCCAGCAGATTTCTCTAATAGAAAGCTGCTAAACTGCATTGTTCCTCCACCCGTTTCTCCATCTTTCTCCTCATATACTATGTCTACTTAGAGCCTGCAAAGGACCATACCACATGCAGAATGTCGAGGGACAGAGTGTGAGCACTGAGGGCTATGAGGCAGTATATACTGGGGCATCTACCTCACTCCATGCCATGAAAGGCAGGAATGATGGCAATTTCATTGGAAATGCTCTTTAGGCAAGACCTCAAGGTTGCGTGAAGACTTTCAGTCACTTAACGGGAAGAGTGTTCCGGGAAGGGAACAGTGTATGTCCAGGTTCTGAGGTAGGAAGACACTGCAAGACCAAGGTGTTGGGTGTGGGCTGAGGCCAACACACTCTGAAAGGCATTAGACAAGGAGAAGCAGGTGAGGGCTTGCCTGCCATGAAGAAACACTTCCAGTTCATCCTCCCCCACCATTAGCAGAAGCAGAAAGCTCTGAGGGAATTTCAAGCCGGGGGGGGTGGTGCTGCTGAGATGGAGATGCTGTGTAGATACCAGATGGAGGTGGGCTGGGCTGTGGCAAGAAAAGGAAGCAGAAAGACTGGGTGGAAACCAGCTGGTGTGTGTGGCTTTGGATGGGTTTGGGACTCAGTAACAACAGAGGAGGTGGAGAAGCAGCTGAGCTTTGGTTCTTCTTCTGCTAGCCTCCACTGGAGCCTCAGTGATGCTTAGGAGTCCAGTCTGGTGAATTTGCACTTAATAGGCTTGGTTCTGGTACCAGAACTAGCTGTGTACTGATGGGATTTTTATGTATATTCACTTGACCCTTGGTATCCACTGGGAACTGGCTCAGCACCTCTCTCATGCCAAAATACAGGGAGACTCAAATCTCCTGTATCAAATGGCATAGTATATGAGCATGACATGTACTTCCCTTAACTTCAAATCATCTTTGGATTACTTAGATTACCTAAAACCCTGTGTAAATTATTGTTACAGTATATTATTTAGGGACACAGTGACAAGGCAAAAAGGTCTGTATGTTCATCACAGATACAATTTTTTTTTTTTTCTGAGACAGGGTTTCTCTGTGTATCTTTGGTGCTTTTCCTGGAATGCACTCTGTAGCCCAGGCTGGCCTCGAACTCATAGAGATCTGCTTGCCTCTGCCTCCTGAGTGCTGGGATTAAAGGTGTGTGCCACCACCGCCCAGCCTCACAGATACAATTTTTAAAAACATCAAATCTGCAGTCAGCTGGGGACAGGGAATCTATGGATATAGAGCCAATTACTTTTAGTTTAATGCTTATAGCAACCCTGCAAGGGATATATGATTGTTATTTGTATTTTTTCAACAAGTGGGAACTAAGAGTTAAGAAAGTGAAGAATCCTTGGCAAGGGGATACCACTTGTCATTGGCAACATTGTCCCTAGAGCCCCATTCTTGGTGGGGTCACCCCCCTTTGTCGCTCAGCACACTAGGAGCAGCTGCTATTGTAGACTCACTGTGTGCTCCCCAAAATTCATACTGAAGTTCTCACCTTCAGTACCCCAGGATGAGTGTGGATTACAGCCAGCCTCTTTACAGAAGGAGTTCAAGTAAAATGCAGTCACTTATGTGGAAGCAATGCAGTGTGGCTGTATTCTTTAAGACAAAGGGACAGGACAGAAATATTGACGTATGTAGATCCAGAAAAAAGGCAGCATTCTAGAAGCAGAAGAGAAAGTCTTAGCGGCCAACACTCACATCTTGAACAGGGACTTCCAGCCTCCAGCATGATGAGAAAATATATTCTGCTATTACAGTTGGCCACTTTGGGGTATTTGTCCTCAGACCCCTAGGACACTAACATATCACCCCTTTGACCTTCAGGATTTCTACCTCACAGGGCCACAGATCTCCCAACAGCTCCTAAACCTCTCTGTGAGAGGACTGTGGTCTCCCTTTCCCTGAAAGGAAGTGCTAAAGGATTTGTTTGAAACTCTATTTTCACAACAAACATGGTATTGCAGTGTTTATTTGGGGTGGATTGAAGAGACTTGTAGAGAGATTTGTGAGCCAAGAAGCCTGCGGCTGTTGTCATGAGCTCTTCTGCAGATCCCAGCCGGTGCTTGCAGTCTGGCTGTGTGTGTGTGTGTGTGTGTGTGTGTGTGTGTGTGTGTGTGTGTGTGTGTGGTGATAGGAATCCTGTAGGGTGGCCATCACCACAGCCATGGCCATGCAAGTTCCTCACAGCCAGCCCAGCACAGGGATCCCGTGGTTAGGATTCCAATCCCAAGTTTTAATAACATGCATTAAGGGTTAATGTAGCAAGGCCAAGTTGAGCAGGAAGACGAGATGATGAGGTATAGTTCGCCCCTCTTTCCTGTCCCTGGTCTCTCTGGTGAGATGTAGATCTTACCTTTCCAGATAGAAGGGCTGAAGCCTTAGAGAGATATGTTTTAAAAATGTCCTCACATGCCTCTTGACTCTTTTTGCCTTTTTATTATAATTATTGATATTTATCCCATATAAAAATATGACCACACTTCCTAGGAGCCCCTCAAAGTCTTATTCCATTCCAGTATCAGGTTAAGGTTGAGGACCACATCTCACCTCCATCAGGTGGAAGTATAGGTGAGGTTCCCTGAATACAGTTCCTTATGCGCTATTGTCCCAAACTGAAAACCCATCAAGTCTGAGTAGACAAATGATCTGTACCCCCCACTTAACGAACATGTAATTGTGGGAAAGGACTACAAGAACTGCTTTTAGTTAGGTGGTTGGTATCCCCTAAAATATACATGTCAGTCCTAAATGCTAGAACACATGATTGTAACTTTGCTTGTAAAGAGGGTTTTTGCAAATGTCAGTCAAAGACTTCAAGATGAGGACCATCATGAATTTAAGGATGTTTCTAAATTCAGTAAGTAGGTTCTTAGAAGGGAGAGTCTTAAGAGTCTTGCACCATGCAGAACCTGATACCACCAGAAGCCAGAGCAGGCAAGGGAAATTTCTCATTCATTACCCTCAGAGGGAGTACATTCCAGCTAATACCTTGGCTTTTTTATCTGGCCTCCAAACTATGAAAGACCCCATCTGATTGTTTAATGTCACTTCATTCAGTGAAATTTATTACAGAAGATTAGAAAACAAATAGACCACTATTAGGATTCTCACAAAAATGGGGTGAGGTGTCTTGTCAACTTGATTAGATTGAGAGTAATCTCCAACAGCTAGAGCCTGCCAATGGGGTTTATCTTGGGAGTTCTCAGGGGGAATGACAGGTGGAGCCCTGACTGGGAAGAAGAGCTATCCTTAATGTGACCAGGCTCCCAACTGGAAATGCACTGGAGGAAGAGGAAGCCAGAGCAAGCTTATTCTTCCTAAACCGGTGTGTCTGTCATGGTTATTGCATGTGGTTATCAAACACAAGATTCTTTGGCCTTCAACCTGGATCTTTTCACATTGTGATGTGACACTGTTATCTACAAGTGTGCTGGACCACATTCAGAGCTGTCCTAGGATGCTTGTGGCCTGTGGCCTGTGGCTGCAGATTTGACACACTGAAAATATTTACTCTATAGACCTTTCTAGAAAAAGTTCCCCCATTCCCCCTTCATTTAATAATTAAGCCTCAATTGACAGAAAGGCATATCAGGGCTGAAGTTGTATCTGGTGAGGGATGTGGTTCCCTGACTCACCAACTAGGGTACTTGAAGGCTTTTGTGGTGGGAGATTGGAGCAGGGCATTAACAATTGGAATAGTGGGATGATGGTAGTTTCTTCTTTGTCTCAAAAGTCTTTGTTTTGTTGCTGTTCTTCTTGCTTGCAGAATTGGGTGTGGACTACAGGGTCTCATGAATGCCAGACAAGTGCTTTATCACTGAGCAACATCCCCAGCACAACTGGTGTTTTCTTCAATGAAAGCAGGATGTTTGCAGAAAGCGCAACACAGGACATGGAAAACAAAATAGGAACACTCAACACCACACACACACACACACACACACACACACACACACACACACACTCAACATATACTTACACACACACTAAAACACATGTATACACAGACACGCACACGCATGTACAGCCGGCCAAGAAGGACTTCAGGATTGCACAGTCGTCAGGATGAAGTACTTATTTGGCTTAGGGTAGGTATGTTCACATATTTGTGGAATTTTACTCGCAGTCTTCTTCTGGTGGTCCATCACCATGTTCTTTTTTTTTTTTTTTGGTTTTTCGAGACAGAGTTTCTCTGTGTAGCTTTGCACCTTTCCTGGAACTCGCTTTGTAGCCCAGGCTGGCCTCGAACTCACAGAGATCCGCCTGCCT